ATGGCTTCACTGAGTCACGCAAGCCCCTTCGCCACGACAAGGCAGTGATCCATGAAGGGGATTAAGCAAACATGCCCATCCTTAGAAATCATACATTATTTAAATCTAACTGAAAGCTCTCTGGAGGAGTTTGGCTTCCCAGTCTTTCCTCAATATCTTCAGGGAGGGGCCATCTGACTCGCTGGGGCCAGGCTATTCTAAGGAGTGGAGAAATACCTGGAAAACTCCAAATTCTTGCCTCCCTCCCCTAGGGTTGACTTAATTTGCCTGCATAAGATGTCAGGGGGGCAAGGGGGGCCAAGTGACATCATCCATATCATGATGTCATGGCACAAATTACGTTCTTGGTGTCCTCTTCAGATCCTAACTAGCTCTGAACCGGCTTAGCTTTCTGAGACCAGCTGAAGTTCTGTAATCCAGTAGTCTCCTGTATGGGTTTTTTGTGGGGTGGGGAGTCCTCTATGGTCTCCTCCAGCTTGCTTTCCCAATACATTCTGGTTCCCTCCCCATCTGTGTTTGGGTGATGGGATCTGTGTCCTGCTTTCCCACCCTCTGATAAAGCTGTGGTGAGACAGGTGTGATTTGTGGCCAACTGAGGCAAGGCCAGTTGACCAAACCTTGATATCCTGATCTTTTGAAGACTTCTCTCTGCTCCCACAAAAGAATCTCATTGCACGTCATCCTTGTTGGTTAAGAGGTGGAATGGAACCGCCTCCCTATTGTTCAAGCAGGAAGTCTCTGGGTTCAAAGGCATCCATGCACTCTCTTAGGTCTTCTTACCAACCAGTTGTAAAACTCAGGCAGTTGTCTTTTCCCACAAGCAACCCACAAATGTTAAATGGTTGTTTTTAGCACCATTGCCCCTTTCTAAAAATCTGGTGTGGGGGATGTCAGTAGCTAATAGCCACCAGTCATCAAAAGCTGTCAATGTGGGGACATTATATTTTGTGTTTTTATCTTACTTCTACAGTGCCTAGAGAATCTTGGCTGCTAGATGGCTGAAAGATATGATAAATGAATGAAAAAGTCCAGATCCAACCCCTTTGCTCACCAGGGCCTCTCAGGCACCTTTACCACATCCTTCCTTTCTCTTTTCCAGGATATAAGACCTTGCTGAAATGCCTCTCTGGAAAATTTTGCCGCCGTGAACTGATAGGCATTATGGGGCCTTCTGGAGCTGGGAAATCCACCCTGATGAACCTCCTGGCTGGTTACCGGTGAGAAAATACTTCCTTTCTCTAAAACAGTTCGTTTAACTGAAACCTTTGAACCGTTATCCCAACAAATGCCATGCTAGTCTTCTTGAACATCTTCTGGTTCCAGAAGAAGAACATCTTCTGCACAATCAAGGGGTGCCACATTTCCCAGAGTAACAGTGAAGTAAACTGGAGAACTTCTCAACGCAAATTCTGAGTTAAAACCTTCCAGAAGTTAGTGGAGGGGGGGAATCCCTTGTTTTCCTGCTCAGCACCCCTCTCCCTGCAGCCCCCCCAAGTCTAAAAATAAATCCAGCAAATGAATGAAGAAGTAAGTGTAACCTCTCCCTGGATCGAAGGGCCCATCCCTGATCTGGACAGGCTGTTCCGGTTTCAGAGCCTTCTAAGGGGCACTGGATTTTCAACCTGCAGCCTTCTGCACTAAAGGAGGGAGAACATGGGCTGGGAGATCCCTTGGCCTCTTCTCAAGCAGAAGGAGATCTTTATTTATTTCTGTGGGTCATATGAGCAAAAGACTTGGGCCTCTACAGTACAATCCATACAGTTCAAAAAAGGGCTATGGCCAAATTGAAATGCCTTTTGCCAACCAGATAAATTAGGTTTAAAAAAAGTGGGGAGAGCCAGCTTTTTTTTATTTGGGGTGGGGGGAACCACAGGGCCCCTCATCTGAATCATCGATCTGTGTTGGAAATGATCAGATGGCAAACCAGCTTTCCTTTGAAATAGCAAAGCCAAAGATTGGAAGAAGGCCTGTTTCCATGTTTCAGTTTTCCCCCACTGGCTTTTGATGGCTGGCCATTGACTTCAATGGAGAAAGAACAATGGGAGACATGACAGGGATTTAGGATGTAGCAAGAAGACAGCAAATATTTTGCCCCCGCCCCCCATTTTGTGGAAACCCAAGGAAGAGAAACGTCCACGCGACCCCAAACCCAACCATTTCTCGTTTTCAGGGAAACGGGCATGAAAGGCCAGATTCTTGTGAATGGACAGCCGAGGGAGCTGCGCACTTTCCGGAAGATGTCGTGTTACATCATGCAGGACGACATGCTGATGCCCCACCTCACTGTGCGGGAGGCCATGATGGTGAGTGTGGGGAAAAGTGGCCAAACCTGGAAAGGGAAGAACATAGAGGCCTGCAAGCATCAGGAGGAAGAGAGGAACCCCCTTCCTCAAAATAGAGGCGGCTCCTTGGCTTAAGTCCCTGTTATTTTGCCTTTCTACTAAAAAGCAAGCGGGCTAATAAAAAAAAAAAAAGCATTTGCAGCAAGGCCGTAGTGTTATTTAAAACCTTTAGTCCCATCCCAGGTTTGAAAAAATATATAAAAACAAAGTAGAATTGGTTTTACATGTAGGTATAGGCAAAATTGGATGTTTTCTTCCTCTCTTTGGGTCTCTGAGCGAAAGCTAGACCTGCAAACCTTATCTTTTATTATATATTATTATAGTGTTGCACCTTGTCTAAGAAAAGCACTGAAGGATGCAATCCTCTCTTCCTGTGGTCTGAAATGGCACCATCTTGCAAGAGCAGCACAGGCAAGAGAATAGCTATTCCATCTGGAAAGCGTCTAGGTTTTCACATCACTGCCCCCCCCTTTTTTCTTTAAACACAAAATCCATTAAGGGTGGAAAGAGACAGCGAGAGAGATGGAAAAGCTGCCTGGTGTCTTTTTATTGATGGCGCTAAGTGTCTTCTGTCTGAAAGCCCTGTCAGAACCCAGTTATGGGGCTGAAAAGGGCAGAAAACGTGCACGGCTTTTGCCTCGCCTCCAGAGAAAAGGAGGCCGTTCCCCGGGCTTTGAAAACCAGGGGTTCCAGTAAGTCCCCTAGACGCAAAGAATGAGGTCGCTTTGCTTTCCCCACGCAGGTTTCAGCCAACCTGAAACTGAACGAGAAGCAAGAAGTGAAGAAAGAGCTGGTAAGTTGGCATTCTCTGTCTCATTCGAAAGGTCCGAAAGCAGAGGTGGACGGGCAGTGATGCCATAAAGACATTTCTGGCTGTTCGGATTCCTGGCAAAGGGAGACCTGGATGTTTTCCAGTCTCTCTCGCTCGGACATCTGAGAGGGGCTCAGTTTGCAGCTGACGCCTTGCAAAGTCAAGTCCAGCTTAATACCATCGCTGGCAAGCTGGGCTCTTCCTTCCCAGAACTGGGCTCTTCCTTCCCAAATGTGGCATCTTTCTGCTCAGGGGGCCAGGGCAGTCAGGGGGCCTCCCTGGCATTCTGTCTTGACCGCCCAGTTGTGAGCTAGAGGCTGAGTGGGTAAGAAAGAGAATAAGCAGAGTGAGAGGCTGACTGAAGATTTCTCAGTGGAGTGGGGTTTGAACTGGACCTGCCTGCTTCTGTTGAGATGTTTTAACCGCTTCATCCCACTGCCTAAGGGAAGAGTGGTCCGAGCCCATTTCCCAAAGCAACTCTTTTCCCCTTTCCTCTTTTCCTGCAACCAGGTGCACGAGATCTTGACTGCCTTGGGGCTCCTGGAGTGCGCCTACACACGCACCTCCTCTCTCTCGGGAGGGCAACGCAAACGACTTGCCATCGCTCTTGAGTTGGTCAACAATCCTCCAGTCATGTTTTTTGACGAGCCCACTAGGTGAGCACCAGCCCCCGGCCCTGGTCCCTGCCCGCGTCTGGGGAAGCCTGCAAGGCCCTTTCCTCTCATCCCTGCATCTTGTTCGATCTTGGAGAACATTGGCAGGAATCCTCCAAGAAAAAGATGGGATGTTGAGGCAGGACTGGGCCAATAGGTAGAAAAGAGCCTGTAGAAGAAATCACTGCCTGCTTTGAGTTCCATGTCAGAGTCGAAAAGTTTTAAAAATGTCCAGTTTCCCATCATGGGGGAGAAAGAAAAGTGGCTGTTGCACAAACGCACACCTACTTCTGAAGACACAAAGGCTGTTGACCTACAGTCTGTTCCTTGCCTCACAAATGTACCACCAGCCTAGAGCCCCTCCCCACCAAAGAGTAGAAGACAACCTCTCTCCTTGTGCCCATGGCCCACAGTTGGTTTTTCCTCTCTTTCTCTGCCTCTCCAGCGGACTGGATAGCACATCCTGCTTCCAGGTGGTTTCCCTTCTGAAATCCTTGGCCCATGGGGGTCGCACCATTATCTGCACGATCCACCAGCCCAGTGCTAAGCTCTTTGAAAAGTTTGACAAGGTGAGGCCTTCTGCAGGGCTCCCAGGAACCAACTTTCTAAATCTAGCGGCTTGTGATGGAATGCCATGGGAACCATGGTGGCGCACTGATGACAGAACGATGCCTGTGGGGCCAAGAATTTGTGTGGCAGGAGTTCACCGTGTCAGAACTCCCTGATTTGAGCATCTTTTGTGGGCCAGAGAAATTTGCACTCAGAATACCTTTCTCCTCCCCTCTTCCTTCTTTCCAGCTCTATATCCTCAGCCAAGGACAATGTATCTTCAAGGGAGCCGTGTCCAACCTCATCCCGTACCTCAAAGGGCTTGGCTTGCATTGCCCCACCTACCACAACCCAGCTGATTTCAGTAAGTCATGTTAGCCACAGATGGCTTTTGCATTTACAAGAGCTGAGAAATGCACAGCTTGGTCTGTTCATAAGAACCTAGGAAGCTTCTTTGTACCACGTCAGACCCTTGCTCCACCTGACCCAAACAATCCCTCCAAATGAGAGATATCTCTCTAGGGTTTCAGGCAGAAGTCTTCACCAACCCTATCTGGAGATGCTGAGTACTTTGTTTAGGGTCTCCTGCATATCTGACCATTTAGTGATGGCTTGATGTGAAGTTGTCAACCAATGGGAATGCTGGACCAGAGCCCTAGATCTATGAATGACTTTCAGGAACTTCCTTGTGGGTTCCCTGTTAGAACATCTTGGTGATCCCTGATATAAAACAAGATATTGGACTAGGAAGACCTCATGATCCAACTCAGCAGAGTTCCTCTTGCAAGGTGGAGCAGTGTTTTCTGATTCTCTGTGCAGACTTTGATTCCCAGAATTCTTAGCAATGGCCATGTCAGCAGGGGCATTCTGGGAGTTATTCCACATCTGGAAGGCACCAGGGAGGGCTAAAGTTTACATCCCTTTCCTAGGGCCTTCCATGCAAGGATGCCTTGCCATCAGGAATTGAAGAGCTGTATTGGGGAACAAGTCTAATACGGAAGCAACAGCTCAGAAGCTCAGAGTCAAAATTTCCCCTTGGCCACAAACTTGCTGAGTTGTTTCTGATGACCGCTGAGCCTCATATTTTCACATAGCAGAGAAAGAACAGCTAGCCTTAAATTGCAGCCATACGGTTTGCTAGGATACTGAACTGGAATACTACACATTATCATTGATTCATGAAAATGAAGAACTGTTCTTAGCATAGGGATGGTCAGTAGAGAAAAGAGTCTCTTGGCAGGAGTGCTGTGAAGCACGCCCCCCACATTCCCTCCATCTGCCTTCCCTCTGCAGTCATTGAAGTGGCCTCGGGGGAATATGGCGATCTCAACCCACTCCTGTTCCAAGCCGTCCAGAACGGCCTGTGTGCCATGGAGGAGAAGAAGAGCAGTCCAGAGAAGATGGATTCTCTGATGCCAGGACCTTGTGTGGCGGTGAGTGGTCTATAGCGGGGAGTTCGTTTGACAACTGGAGCTTCCCTAAGACATCGGGACCCTGCTAGGCTGGATGAGGGCAGCTTTGTTGATTCCAAGGTTGCTCTGTTTGCATCTGGCCTCTCATTTTCCTCTAGTTGAAATGCACCACCTTGTGTGTTGCTTGGGAAAGGTTTCATAACATCTTCCTTGCTGACCACTAGAATTGTTGAAGATTTTCTTAACCTCCCAATCTCTCTCTTTCTCTCTTTTCTCCTTGGTTCAGCCGCAGGATTTGGATCACATCGAGAGTCACACCTTTGCTACTAGTACTCTGACGCAATTTTGCATCCTTTTCAAGAGGAGCTTTATTTCCATCCTAAGAGACACGGTAGGGGTCAGGGATGAAGAAGGCAGAAGATTCAAGATGGAGGGTGGAGAAGGGAGAAGTGGGAAGGAAAAACAGTGAACTCTGGTGGCAGCACTTGAGGTTTTCAGCCAGATGTCTCTGCATTCCGGATCTCTGATGCTTTTTGACTTGAGTTGCTGGGGCAACATCCGGAACATCTTTGGAGCCTTCAGAATGCAAAGCAGGGGTATCTCTAGGGGATCAAAAAAGTCAAGATGGTGGTCACAGAACTGAAGCCCCATCCATTGTTTACATGCATTGTGGCCACCAGCCTGACTTTTGTTCACGCACATATGCGTACACACACACACACACACACACACACACCCATGAACACTCCTGATGCAAAGCTGGTATTTTGGTCTCCAATCAGGTTGATTACTTTCAGAGTCAGAGGGACCCAAGATCCAGGACTTGATAATCATTTTTTACTTCTTCCCACCCTATTTATTGATTTGTTTTTATGATTACAAAATTTACTCCTGGTCCATCCAGAGATTTTGGTTGGCTTTCATCTTAGATGAATATCTGATATGTTTGTATTGAACAAGTAATAATAACAGTGAGTATTTTGTGCTGTGTGGGGTTGAGAGAGGCTTGGTTCATATGACACAAATCTTCTTTATTCTTAATTTATTCAGAGATTTTATAAACTTCTTCAGCAGCCCTGGGCAGCTTACAAAAATGCAATAGAAACCATGATTAAGAGCAGGAAATAGGAAAAAGTTACCTCCATCAACTCGCTACTTTTGAATGTGAAAAGATTAAAAAGCTTGGGATGTTTCTCACCCGCCACCCCACTGTGACAGAGAAGGGTTTGCTTCAACTCCAGTGGTTAACTGGCTTTCAACTCAGCATGTTGTGTGAAGCCCACCCTTGTGGCTTGCCCGGCACGCTCTGGGGCTTTTCCTTAAGAGAGCCAAACGCTTTGCAAAAGGAGATGAAAGTGTCCCCCGAAGGAAGAATCCTCCCCAGGTGACCTATGGGGCTTCTCGTTTTGCACAGATGCTCACCCACCTGAGGTTCATGTCGCACATCTGCACCGGGGTGTTGATCGGCTTGCTCTACTTACACATCGGCAACGACGCCACCAAGGTCTTCAACAACACTGGCTTCCTGTTCTTCTCCATGCTTTTCCTCATGTTCTCCGCTTTGATGCCGACAATTCTGACTTGTAAGTTTGGGTCCCTTTGCAGAACGTCCTGGGCATCTTTAGGATTATTCTGGGTTAGATGCATTGGTGTCCCCAGGAGGAAGAAAAACCTGGAGGGTTTCCAGGTGACTTGCAGCAGAAGTGAGTCAGGTCTTCACGGCTCCATTTATTTCGGGAGGATCAGTCTTTTTCTGGCTGGTGGCCACATTTTTTAAACCTATTTTTCAGCCTCTGAGACTTGCTAGTGAGATAGCGATGTTACTGGAGAGGGGTGGGCTGGCGTTTTGAAGTGCTTTAGCCATGAAGGGAGTTGGAGGGGTGAAATAAATTCAGGGCATTCCATTAATCAGATTTTTTTAAGCAAAGCCATCAGATTGGTGCACTAAGCTACCGGAAAACTTAACACGCATACATTTGATTGCTTAGTTGCGGGGAAAGGCTGGAAACTGTGCTGCTGTAAAGGAGGGGTTTCTGATGTGGATGGAGATTATGGGATATACAGCTGAAGAAGACCAATCTGCAGTCTTCTTTTGTTGAGGGGGGGTGGGTCGGTTTGTATCCCCCACCCTCTTTTTTCTGTTGCACAACAATCAGGAATTTGCAACCTCTCCGTGGCTGCAGGACAGACCCCACGCTGCACGGTGACCAAGCGCAGCCCAGAACTGGGGGCTGGAACGTGGGGTTCTTCAAAATAGATGTTCCCCAGGGTTTGGGCCCAGAAGCCTTTTGCACCCTAAACTGCCAGCATCTGGCCCTTTCCCATGTGAATCCACCAACCTCCTGCTGCTCCTTGCCAGGCTATGCTGTTCTTATCAACTCACCTGCTCTCCCTCTTTGCAGTCCCTCTGGAGATGTCTGTCTTTCTGCGAGAACATCTCAACTACTGGTACAGCCTAAAAGCCTACTTTCTTGCCAAAACCATGGCTGACGTTCCTTTTCAGGTGAGCGGCTTGTCCTGCCTGAGGGAGGGCCCCCTGCTTTTTACAGCTTTGTCGCAGGCTGAGCTTCAACAGGTGCAGCTGGACATAGTGGGAGAGCCGAGGGTTGAATGCTTCCATTGGTGGAGGATATCGGCTTCCCCCTTAACTGAGAACCGTTGCAACCACTAACTACTTTACTCCAAGGGGCAGATCCCTGAGTACTAATTTGTCCCCCACTGCTTCTGCAGATCATCTGCCCTATCACCTACTGCAGTATTGTCTACTGGATGACGGGGCAGCCCCCCGAAGCGATCCGTTTCCTGCTCTTCTCGGCCCTGGCCACCTGCACGGCCTTGGTGGCCCAGTCGGTGGGCCTCTTCATAGGAGCAGCGTCCAGCTCCCCCCAGGTGAGTCTACAGCATGGCCTAGAGTGGTTCGGGACCACTCCAGATGGGGAGGGGGGCTCAGGTGGTCACCCCAGAATTTAACGTGACCCCATCTGAAAAGGAATTGAGGACCGAAAGAGAGGAGGGGAAGGTATGAGATCTAACCAAGGTCCTTTCCAAAATGTTAAAAAGAAAAAGCAAGTAACTTGATCCCCCCCTCTTTGAGGTAGAAGGTAAGGGGCTCTCCCCCCCCCCCCCCCTTCCCCACCTCTCCTATTCCCCCTAGGTGGCGGGGGGGGGGGGGGGGGGGGGGGGGGGGGGGG